GGTATCTCCCACTTGGTTGCCTCGGAAAATAACGGTCACAATTCTCGAAACGTAAGAACTCTTAGTGATTGTCCTTAAGTCTAAAGAGATCACTAGTCCCTCGATGACCCTCTCGACTGTTGCCTCGGTTAAAAAAGTGATCTTAGGGCTTTAGGACAGTTACTAAGAGTTTTTGCCCAGTTGCCTTTAGTGACCGTACATCCCTTTCAATAGTCCCTCAACATCCAACGACTAGGGCTACCTACTCACTAATAGTAGGATAGCACTGTCTAAAGGATAGGAGGAAAAGAACAAACTTTTTTTCGAGTAGGTAGATAATTGTTAGGTACTTGCTCAAACAATTCTTTTTACACCATACTTTCAAACACTTTTCAAACAAAACACTTTATCACACTCTTGAGGAATGATACAAGGGTTATCATAAAGCGAATCACCGCACTAAGGCATTTTCAAACAAAAATGTTTTCACACAAACACGAAAGCAATTTTCAAAAAATGAGCAAGTACCTAAGAGCTCGTAGAAAACTACGGATGGAAAGGGTACTAACACCTTCCCTTTCCATAATATACCCCCTTACTCAGAAAATCTCGAAAAAGGTCTTTTTCTATTCTTTTCACCCTTTCCTTTGTTGGATAAAAGAAAAGTCGGTGGCGACTCTTGCTTACCGCGACATTTACGAATACAGAATGCAAACCAGTATTAACAGTCGATTCTGCCACCGTATAACACTTGGTTTTTTCAACTTTCAAACGTTCGATCAGTCGAAATTTGATAGCTAATTGAGCCATATCCTTCAAAGACCGAGTGTCCCACAATTTCTTCTTGATGGAATACTCTAACCCATTTGCATCCATTTCGAGCAACTCATGTTAAGGGACTTGTGTAAAGCATCGCTTTCAGAAGTCTAAACGTGTTAAGGTATTGGTCTACTGACTCAGTGCTCTTTCATTTGACACATAATAATTCTGTTAGGCTTATTTTGGACTGTCCAATATGGAATTGCTCATGGAACAATTTATCTAACTGGATCTATGTTTGGACCGACTATGGAGGAAGCATTGTAAACCAAGTGAACGCATTCTTTGTGAGGGAATTGGGAAAATATTTCATCCTTAAATCCTCATTCACTGCCAAATTGCTAAGTTTTGTTTGGTATCTAGCGACATGTTCGACAATATATTCTTTGACATCCCCTGCAAACTTAGTGAACTTTGGGAGTTTTCAACCTCTTGGTAATCCAATTGTAACACAAAATATGGCAATAGGGAGACATGCATAGTCCTGTGAGAACCAATATTTATTCCATTTCTCATCATTATTCGTTCGACAATGGCTTCTAGGTTTTTTCCCCAACCATTATTTCATGTTGACCCTACCTGATCAGTTGGTCGACATCCTGGTTTCGATTTTCTATTACTATTGGGGGTTGTTGTACTACCCTAAGTGTGTGGCCGACACGTGGACGAGTCAATGGATCCTGTTCGACCTCTTCGTCGAAAACTTCCTCGTACTGCACTGGTACCTCACATGGTCAGGGTGTAGCTTATCGAACTGGCGCTCTAGGAGCACCAAGAAAATCTCCCATGCAAGTCATCTAAGTTGCTAATGTCTGATAACTCTTCACCAGATTTTCAATTAACGGTCTTAATATTAGACTCATCTGTTGATTGAGCATATTGTCCATTTCGTGGTTACTTTCATTCATCTGTTTCCTCATGACAGAAACATCACTTATGGTAAAAGTAGGCATAATCTGGTTAGAAAAATCCAACCCAGTCGAATGCCCAAATTGGCTTCCCGACAGCCCCAGAGGGTGATATGGTGAAAATGCAGAATTTTCGCCAAATGTTGGACTGTTAGTATGCAATCCTGCCATCATTGCTGCAGGCATTCCATATTCATGTATATTTCTGGAAAAACTAGGCACATACTTCCTAGAAGTTGGAACCACACTATCGTGTGTTTCTCTTGTGAAATTACGCGTATAATGGCACATAAATGTGACCATTGTTGGTCTTGCATTTACTGGTTGTGTTGTGGTAATTATATTTGGTATTATCGAAGACATGACCGCTAGATTAGACCTACACTCATCACTGCACTGGTATTTCCTCCCAGATTCTGATCACTTTCAAGAGTTCTAAGATCTACCATTTTTCTACCACTTCTCAATTTCATGCACGAAAAAATAACACTCAAACACAAATGCGTCCCACCAGGTGTGCCAATTTGTTTCTTCATAAAATAATTTCTAGCCTCTTATTAAAGATTAGTTGTAGGATCAGCTACAATAATTCTAGGATTAGTGTTTATATTGTTTTTGGGTTGAAAAAAAGATAAAGGGGAAAAAGGTAAAGACAATTGCAAAGTAAATAAATCAAAGACAAGACTTGTAATTTAAAGTGAGAGGACTGTAAATTGTTATAAATTTAAATGTGAAAGCATTCATACATTGTTAAGCTTGAATTCATTTCTCTCTTAGATGCGGATACTTTAAGTGTATTGCTATTAAATATGAAGAAATGCGACCTCTAACACAAATACATAAATTTGCTTAAATAGACATCTTAAACATGTAACCGTCGACAGTTACTAGCCCATGTTTGGGCTTCATGGGAACTGTTTGAATCTTCCCATGTTCTTGCTGGCTCAACATGTTGATAACTATTCTCGCCAGTATAAATCCTTTCTTCTCCGCCCTTTATATCTGTCGACCACTGCCTCTAATCTTCTGGTCCTTATCGATTGGCTTACTTGGTCAATGTCCTCCCCTTGCTCGACGCATCTTATTATTTTTCACCAATCTATGCTTCTTTAGCCAAATAAACCCCACAAATTAAGGTTTGTTACCTAGTCGAAGATTGCTTGTCAACACCAAGACAACAAACAAAGAACTTAGAATAAAAATAATGAACACAATGTTTTTATCCTTGTTCGTTGTTAACAAAGCTACCTCTAGTCCACATGCCAAGGTGATTTCGCCTTCTCACAAGGACTTAATCCACTATATCCAAACTGATTACAAACATAAAGGCTTACTGTCAATGTCTTCTTGAGAAATTCTGACTATACCCTAGTCTCTCAAGGAATAACAACTCAAAGGTTCATATACAATTGTGTGTTTACAAAGATGCTTCTATAAAGCAGATTACACAAATGAAATACAATGAACAACACAAAAGTTTTTGAGAGCAAGTGTATGAACAAAAGTTCCTTGCTTGATGCTTTTTCTTATCTCACAGAGTTATAATATTCATGTTCAAGATTTTGATAAAATATTTTAGCAAAGCTCTTGTGAATCATTGTGAAATTGTTACTGATCCCTTCCTAAAGTCTTCTTTATATAGGCAAAGAAATATCTATTGAAGGGTGAAAAAGGAATTCCAAAATCTCATAGCTATAACCTTGTATAACGGTCAGCAGAAATGGTACAATAGTATTGTCCTTTCTCCATAAAATCACTGTAGTGGAAGGAATATCTGATCTTGTACTGTGTACTATTTTCTCATGTAAAATCTTTTGATCTTATCTTCTAATCATCAGAGGTTCAAAATGTGTGTTGATGAAGCATGCTCAGAAGGATAAAAAATGCAAGAGAGTCTTCATAACCTTGTCTTTAGAAGTCTTTAGAACCTTGGTCTTCAAAAGTTTTCAGAACTTGGTCTTCATAATCTTCAGAACTTGATCTTCAGAGTCTTCAGAACTTGGTCTTCAAAATTTTCGTAGCTTGTGGAGTGCAAAATACTAGAGCTTGAAAAAATTCATAAGCATTGTCAAAGAGCATTCTAGAACTTGACTTTTCCTTGTAAAGCGCACTTTGCATCTCCTTAGAATCAGAGTGTGTTGAGTTCAGAAACTGATGACATCACACGCCACTTCTTTAGAGTCAGAACTTGTTAGCATTCAACTACACACTAGACAAAAACTATTAGGGTACAAAATTATTCTCTAAGAAACAATGCATTGTTATCATCAAAACTAAAGGCTAGATGCAGAACCAAATTTTGTTCTTACAATCTCTCCCTTTTTGATGAACAATTTTTACTTGGTTTAATCACATAAAACATATCAGTCAACTATAAAGCCCCCCTGAGTTTTATACTATCATAAATTTTCTCAGCTTGTTCAGAGGCTCCCCCCGAGTTCAAGACTTATAAAATAATTTTGATACATAAAACACTTTAATCAACATGAAAGGAATACTTTCCTGATTAAGACGCTGTCATAGTATGATCATAAATGACAAGTTCGTTGTCTCAGAGCCTGGTTTGCTATCAGAACTTGATGAGGTATCAGAGTCTGGTTAGATTTCCTTTTAACAAAGGCCTAGTTAATAACGCTTGGTTATCAAAACATCATATATCTTCAGAGTTTCCAATCCTTGTTTAATGATCATTTGAATTGCCTGATTAGAAGTGTTCAATGAACTTTTTCAGAGTTCCTGATCAATCAAACATTGTTAGAAGCATAATATGTTAGAAACATATATGGGAATAGTTATGGAAACTAGGTATATCTAAACATATAACTTTCCCCCTTTGTCATTAATCAAAAATAATTTAAAAGGATAAAATAAAAAAATTACTTCATTGATTTCAAGGGATAAAGATACAAATTCAAAAGATTTAACCGGAAAACTAGAAACATAAACAAGGAAACTCAAAAGGTAAAATAAATGGTTTAGGGTGGAGGTGGTATTCTTGACAAAATGGTAGACATCAAAAATTCCGTTGGAGTTGGTCTTAGCTTGAGCTTTGAAAATCACATCTTGCTTGTCCACACGAGTTCTGACCATAGTGTTTTCCTTCTCGATCTCTTCCAAAGTCTTCATGATCACATTTTCAAAAGTAGAAGTAGTTGACTTCTCAATTTCAAAAGTAACTACAAGATCAGTAGCAGATCCATAAGAAGCTTCAATAGGAGTTGAAGAAACTATTTGCTGTGCATAAGTAGAAGTATCTTCAATATGATTTTTTGGCTTAGGGTAAGCTTGATCAGTTTAAGCCATAGTAAAATATGATTTAGGAGCAGGAAACAAAAGTTTTTGGAACATCATTTGAATAGGTTCCATGAAGCCACTCAGTCTAGCATGGTAGTTCTTCTGAGCATCCTTGAAACACATCTCCTTTAATTCCCAAGAACGAGAGTTAATCCACCTTTTGTAGCTATTCCAGCATGCATCGCTCTCAGCAGGATTTACACAGTATGTTCAAAATTGCATCAAAGAGCATATACATTCTTTGGCTTCACTTTAAAACTATAACAATAATTCATCAACAAATGGTTTGGGAGGTGGAAGGATATTGGTTCTAAGGAAGTTAAGGTCAGAGGAGTTAACTTCATCTTTTTCCAAAATCTCATCTTCAAAATCAGATGAGGCAGTGACAACTTCCACTGAAGAATCACTAGATGAGGGATGGTTACGCATGTATTCCATTTCAGTGTCAATGACTAGAATACTGATGACGTTGGTTTGGATTTAAGGTGAAGGAGGGTCATATGTTTATAGGTTTAAAATTTGAGATGGTAGTGGTTCATGCATTTTTGGTTGAGATGGTTCAGTTATATTGGTTATGGAAGGTTGGGGATTTAATGGTTCAGGCTATGATGGATTTGGTCTAGAAGAATCTTAAACCACACCTTATAGTTTTTGTGTAGATCCTTCGTATTCTTTGAGTCCTTTCTATCTTGAAAGACCACATCATCAATTTTATCCAAATTTTACTTTATAACAGGCATATCAAAGTATATCTTACCAGTTCACTTGTGATTGAGAAGCTTTTGCAATTTATTTTCTAGTAATGTGTACATGGTACCCCATAACAAATGATGAAACTCGCATCTTTGATTCATTAGAAAACACCCAAAACTGCTTAACTAGTTTAGAGTAAACTGATCTTTTGAGACGGTTGAAATAATCTTCCTATCCCTGAGTCTTCAATTCACCACTAAGATCAAATCCATTCGCTTTGAGATTTTCAAAATCCACGATCATCTCACTGAGAACATCCAATTCATATACTGGAGTAGACAACTGAAGTTCTTGAATACCTTTTTTTTATGTTCCTGATATTGTTGTTGTTATGAAGAAGATGAAGTTTGTTGAGGAGAAGATGAAGCTTGTTGTTAATGATCAACCATGGTGAAGAGTAAGGGTTTTAGGTTGTAGAGAAAACTTTTAGGTTTGAAAAATAGAAAGTGTGAGATGAAAAGGGCGAGTGTGTGAAGGGTGAGTGGATTGAGTTTAAATAAAGATTTTTGCAATGATGAAAAGAAATATTGAGTAGTGCAAAGATCTGACAAGGGTGAGGCATGAGATATTTTACCCAATCCCATTAAAAATCACTTCTCCCAATGTGTCACACAAGTGTTTAACGTGTTTTAGAATAAGACAACTGTCTTATTTTGAGCCACAAGCCTTTCACTTGCTTGACAACAACTAATTTAGTGAACTCTTCAGAGTCCAGAAGACAGAGCCTTAAGAAAGCTTCTGACTAAGGACACTTCAGAAGCATGAGGACTTCAAACTCCAGAAGACTCACAATTCAGAGCCCATAAATCTCAGAGTCTCATTTAGTATTATGAGAAATAATCATTCCGAGATTTTCATCTTATTCATTCTAGACATAAAATCATTTTAAAAATTTTCAGAATGAAAATAAATCATCTCCGGTAAGGGTTTTTTAAAGATATCAGCCCAAGTATGGTCTGTATCAATAAACTTTAAGTTTAAAATTCCCTTCTGAACATAGTCTCGTATAAAGTGATGTTTAATCTCAATATAATTAGATATAGAATCTAAAATGGAATTCTTAGATAAACAAATAACAGAAGTATTATCATAGAGAATATGAACGTTACTCTCATATATATAAAAATATTCTAGTTAGATTTTCTTTTAGAGGAACTGCGTGCTACATCTAGAAGTTGCAATATACCCAACTTCAGTTAGTGACAATGCAATTGTTGATTGCCTCTTGCTGGACCATGAGATCAAATTATCTCCCAGAAACTGACAGGTTCTAGAAGTGATTTTTCTCTCTAGTCTATCTCTAGCATAGTCAGCATCATAATAACCTACTAACATGTACTCTTTTGATTTTCTGTAACACAAGCCAAGGTTATTAGTACCTTTTAGATACCTAAAAATACTTTTAACAACTGTTTAGTGTGATTCTCTAGGATATGATTAGAAGCGAGCACATAAACAAAACCTGAATAAAATGTCAGGTCTAGAAGCAGTTAAGTATAAGAGAGAACCTATCATACCTCTGTATACCTTCTGATGTACCTTATTGGTTACCTCATCCTTCTCCAGAATACACGTAAGATGCATTGTAGTCTTGGCTATCCTGCATTTGAACATGTCAAACTTTTTCATAAGTTCTTTGGTATACTTGCTCTGATAGATAAATGTTCCTTCTGAACTTTGGTTAATCTAGATTCCCAGAAAGAGCTTGAATTCTCCCACCAGACTTATTTTAAACTCAACCTACATAGACTTAGCAAACTCCTTGAAGAAGGTAGGATTACCAGAACCCAATATAAGATCATCTACATATATTTGAACTACTAAAATATCATTTTTGATGTTTTACAAAACAAAGTAGTATCAACCTTTCCTCTTGAAAAAAATCATTTTCTAAAAAAAAATTGCGTAGTCTTTCATACCATGCTCTATTAACTTGTTTCAGACCATACAATGATTTCTTAATTTTGAAAATAAAATCTATATTTTTGTGATTTTCAAAACCAGAAGGTTGGTGTGCATACACTTCTTCAGTTATGTAACCATTCAGAAATGCACTCTTAACATCCATCTGATATAAGATGATGTTATGATTAACTCCAAATTAAATTAAGAGACGAATATAATCTAACCTAGAAACTGGTGCAAAGATATCAGTATAGTCAATCCCCTCTTGCTGACTATAACATTGTGCCACCAGTCTGGTCTTGTTTCTTACTACTTCTCCTTTTTCATTCAATTTGTTTCTGAAAACCATTTTGTTCTAACAAAATGAGTTCCTTTGGGTCTAGGCACAAAATCCTATACATCATTTCTGAAGAATTGATTTAGTTCTTCTTGCATTTCTAGAATCCATTTTGTGTACACAAGTGCTTCATCAACAAATGTAGGTTTTATGAGGGACACCAGGCCCAAAAGTGTCTTTTCAGAAGGTTTGAATGAGGATCTGGTTCGGTATTTTCATCCAGAATCAATTGTTCAAAATGTGAAGATATTTGTTTATGCTTCCTTAGAGAAGTCTGAGCTTCAATGTCTTTTGATTGAACTTCTTCAGAGTCCTTTGCATCAAATTCTTTAGCAGCAAAGTCTTTACCTTTAACGCATGAATAGGTAATCTCCAAATCTGCAAAATTCTCAACTAGCTTTGACTTTTCAAGGTCAAGATTATCATCAAATCTGATCGTACCTGTGACAAGAAAGAAAGATATGGCTGGTCCAATTATTTGTTAGTCCAAAGCGTTCCACGGAAGGGGGGGGGGTTGTACCTGCAAGATACTCCAATGCTAAAGTTAGAGAGAGTGTGAGGTAAGTGAGAGTAAGAGTTATGAATAAGATATCCGACTTTTCTGTAAAGGAGAGTATTTATAGAGCCCTCAGCGCTGGGCCAATGGCCTCCTTATGGGCTAAGTATTCAAGCCCATAATGGATGGTTGCCAGGATTCTCACGTGGTAGTGAGGATAAGAATCACGTGCCCATAATCCTGGGTTAATTGTTCTGTGGACTTCGTAGATAGTGGGTTGACCATGTCCATTACGAAGGGGGTAACGACTCTAAAGAATGCATAACACGTTGATGACGTGTCCTCAGGTGAAGGGCACATGGATAAAGCGTCTTCAGCTTGGGCCCTAATGGATTGGGCCATCATTTAGGCAGTCCTTGATGCAAGGGAATGTTTGGCCGTGCTCGACAATGGGCCAGCCACGAGCCCAATCCTCAACAGGAGTCCCCTAAGTCGTTGTTCCTAGGCGAAGGAGTAATGAATTAGAGTTAGCCCGTGTGTCGAGGAAGATCGAAAGGACTTGTACCTGGTGGATATTTTTTTATGCTCGTGCTCATATTCCCGCGATGGTGGTGTTTGCCTTGGGTGATTTCATCAATGGGCTAGCACACACGAGCATGATATTTCACCCGTGACAAGTACTGTCTCACCTATGTGGATGATCAACACATATGGGTCGTGGTCGATAATTTTGACTTCCCTTGCCTGTGTTGTAGACCCAACTCTGCTCGTGAGTCCTCATGAGGTCCGTAACTTCTCTTTGTTATTTCCCTGGGGATGTGCTCGTTGACAATATGCGAAGGCTTTTGATTTATGTCCGACATCCTGGGAGTCGAAAAAAATATATGGATCTTAGAAAGACAAGATTCTCTTCTCGAGACATGTGTCATATCATTTAATGTGTAATGATGGCATATGCATAAAGTTATGACGACCTTGGAGTAAGGGAGATGATACGTTATTTCAACGACACGCATTCCCAAGTTTTGTCACGTTTCTTGAACAAGGAGATTTGGATATAAATGGTTGCAAAGGGGTTCCCTTTGAAACTTTTCCCCCCTTGCAAAATTTACTAGGTCTATCCTACTCCTCCCAATTCTTTGAATTTTAGGGCATTCCTCCATCGTCATTGTCACCGGAACTCCACTAGTCTCTAAGCATTCTTTTTAATCGAGTAAGTTTCCACTCCCTTTGGTTTCCTTTGCATGTTAATGTTAGAGGCATTTATGATGTTTGGTATTTTTCCGTGTGTTCTGCATGTTAGGTTTAGGTTAGGCTCCACTGTGAGTTGGCGTTTGGCACTGGTTCTTCCATTCTCGAACGCTGGCACCAGTGAGAAGTATTCAAACTTACATTTTTCATGATTTCTAGTGAAGTTCATACGTCGAGGAGGTTTTTCCACGTGAAACTCATGAATTAATGATAAAGTTCATGTGTCGGGGAGGATTTTCCCCACGAAACTCATGAATTCATAATGAAGTTGATGCAATGAGGAGGCTTTTCCCCATGAAACTATGAATTCATGATGAATTTTATATGTCGAGGAGGCTTTTCCTCATGATATTTATATGTCTCCATGATATTCATAAGCTTGCGAGCATCGAGGGCATCCCGTCAAGACCTGAGTCGAGGAAGGTTCGTCATGAGTTCCTTTTTTGCCTATGAGTAAGAACTTTGTTCGGGGAGTTCATCCCCGTACCTTCCTATGCCCTTTCACTTGATTTATGATGGAAGGGTGGATTTGATTTGATCGTAAAATTCACAATTTTCCTCTGATTTTCATGTTTGATGGCTTGTAGCGCCGAAGGCATCCAACTCGTCGACACAGTCATGTATCCTGACCATGTTTGGGTCGGTCCAGGACCTCAGGGTATAGCCTCGCACTTCTTTGCCTCCACGGGTGATACA